TCCAGTCCTGGGCCAGTCCTGGTTCAGTTCTTTTTCAGTCTTGGTTCAGACCTAGTTTAGTCCCGGTTTAGTCCTGCTTCAGACCTGCTCCAGTCCTGGTTCAGTCCTGCTCCAGTCCTGCTCCAGTCCTGCTTCAGTCCTGGTCCAGTCCTGCTTCAGTCCTGGTCCAGACCTGCTTCAGTCCTGCTCCAGACCTGATCCAGTCCTGCTTCAGTCCTGCTCCAGACCTGATCCAGTCCTGCTCCAGACTTGGTCCAGTCCTGCCTTGGCCCGCCTCCCCTCTGTGATGTATGTGTGCATGTAGCTAGCTTGCGTGCGCTAATGCGGTGGAACTAAACCGTGGCGCGTGGCCCCCCCAGAGGGAGCAGCGGCTCTATGGAGTGTGTAAGCTGCTCAGTGGGTGCGTTTGGGAGTGAAGGCCCGTGACGTTGCCTCCGCAGATCCGACAGCGCCGCTCCGATCAATCACACACACTTCCGGGACGGGAATGTCGAGGCGGCGGGAAAACACGTCGCGCTTGCCTGCTCCTACACGAGACGAGGCAGCGCGGAAAAGCCGGAGACCACGGCGCATCTCAAGCAGGAGGCGGCAAGCTGGAAAAAACGCTCTCTGGACAGATTTTTAGAGGAGATTTATGGTGATGTACGCAGATTGGGTTGTAAACTAACTTCTAACGGGTCAATGTCGGTTCAATGTTGATTCTTTAAGGCAAGTTTAATTGTATAGCACAGTTCATTCACAAGGCAAGAGAGAAACCATCTCACAAGGCATGAATCTGAAATGTTTAGTCCTGACTCTGGGACCAGTAGGAGGCCAGTCCCTGTGCTCCTCAGAGTCCCAGCAGGAGGCCAGTCCCTGTGCTCCTCAGAGTCCCAGCAGGAGGCCAGTCCCTGTGCCCCTCAGACTTGGTTCCCGCCAAAACATGTGCTACTGAATCAGTACTACATTCTTTACTCTCTTTTTCTTATTGAAACAAACTAACAAGCCTTAAACATAAAGAAGACAGTCTCAGTCCTGGGTCTACAGCCTCAGTCCTGGGTCTACAGCCTCAGTCCTGGGTCTACAGCCTCAGTCCTGGATCTACAGCCTCAGTCCTGGGTCTACAGCCTCAGTCCTGGGTCTACAGCCTCAGTCCTGGGTCTAGAGCCTCAGTCCTGGATCTACAACCTCAGTCCTGGATCTAAAGCCTCAGTCCTGGATCTACAGCCTCAGTCCTGGATCTACAGCCTCAGTCCTGGGTCTACAGCCTCAGTCCTGGGTCTACAGCCTCAGTCCTGGATCTACAGCCTCAGTTCTCACTATTTTCCCACTGTTTTTTCCCCTTGCCGAGGCAGAATGGTCTAAGGACAGTGATGATCTGGGACATTTCAGAAATAGTTTGGACCTGAATAAACATTTTTGGACTTTGCTCTATGAACCAATGGATTCTATGTATTTCCTCATATTACATTTGTCATTCTAAACCGGGCCACACAGGTCCTGGTCCCTGTGGTCTTGTGTGGCGGTGGAGGGTGATGGAGCCAGCGGGGCCTGCCCTCTGCGCTCATTACCCAGGATTAGGCCTCTCTGATTGGGAGCAGGTTTATTACACGCCTGGAGCTGCTGTGAAATCTGCTGATTGCTGTTTCGAGGAGAAGGACAATCACGGCTTTGGATCTGCCTCCTTCACCTCCTCCTCCTCCTCTCCGCCAGGGTGACTCCGAGGGCAGCGTGGTCGGTCGGAAAAAAGTATATGAAAATAATACTGCAAAAAATAATCAGAATCATTTTTATTGTGAGAAACAGAAGTAACATTTGTACATCAGTTAGAAAGAATAACCACAAGATGTTTTTAGCTGTACAATTCACATCAGTCCTGGGTCTACAGCCTCAGACCTTGGTCTACAGCCTCAGTCCTGGATCAACAGCCTCAGTCCTGGGTCTACAGCCTTAGTCCTGGATCTACAGCCTCAGTCCTGGATCTACAGCCTCAGTCCTGGATCTACAGCCTCAGTCCTGGATCTACAGCCTCAGTCCTGGGTCTACAGCCTCAGTCCTGGGTCTACAGCCTCAGTCCCAGATCTACAGCCTCAGTCCTGGGTCTACAGCCTCAGTCCTGGGTCTACAGCCTCAGTCCTGGATCTACAGCCTCAGTCCTGGGTCTACAGCCTCAGTCCTGGATCTACAGCCTCAGTCCTGGATCTACAGCCTCAGTCCTGGGTCTACAGCCTCAGTCCTGGATCTACAGCCTCAGTCCTGGATCTACACAGCCTCAGTCCTGGATCTGCAGCCTCAGTCCTGGGTCTACAGCCTCAGTCCTGGATCTACAGCCTCAGTCCTGGATCTACATCACATTTCAGCTCTTTTCCATTCGACTGTATGTAATCAAGAACAAGCACGCCTTCAGACGCGGGGGTTTTGGTCTGGAAAGAATACCTTGAAAAAAGTAAGAAAAAAAACATATACAAATAATACTGCTTAGAATTTTCAGAATAATTTTATTGCCATGTGAGTTACAGGAAGTCCCAGACGAGGAAGTTGCTTTGGCAAAAGTAGAGAAGAATTAGGCATAATAAAACATTTCTAAAGTATAGATTTTTCTAAGACCGGGGTTCAAAGTAAAGTAAGTAATCTTATCCGTCAATAGAACAAGAAAATAAAAGATTTCTGAAAATAAGAAAATAATTCTAGCCACAAATGACTTGATTCCAACTTTAAAACATTTAAAATATTATTGAGAAAATATTAGAGAAAAAAGCAGTCCGAGCAGTGAGTTTTTGAGTCATCATTAAAGGGCCCTAATCTGTCATCATTAAAGGGCCCTAATCTGTCATCATTAAAGGGCCCTCATCTGTCATCATTAAAGGGCCGCAATCTGTCATCATTAAAGGGCCCTGATCTGTCGTCATTAAAGGGCCGCAATCTGTCATCATTAAAGGGCCCTGATCTGTGATTAGGGCCCTTTAATGATGACAGATGAGGGCCCTTTAATGACGACAGATCAGGGCCCTTTAATGATGACAGATTGCGGCCCTTTAATGATGACAGATGAGGGCCCTTTAATGATGACAGATTAGGGCCCTTTAATGATGACAGATGAGGGCCCTTTAATGACGACAGATCAGGGCCCTTTAATGATGACAGATTGCGGCCCTTTAATGATGACAGATGAGGGCCCTTTAATGATGACAGATTAGGGCCCTTTAATGATGACAGATTAGGGCCCTTTAATGATGACTCAAAAACTCACTGCTCGGACTGCTTTTTTCTCTAATATTTTCTCAATAATATTTTAAATGTTTTAAAGTTGGAATCAAGTCATTTGTGGCTAGAATTATTTTCTTATTTTCAGAAATCTTTTATTTTCTTGTTCTATTGACGGATAAGATTACTTACTTTACTTTGAACCCCGGTCTTAGAAAAATCTATACTTTAGAAATGTTTTATTATGCCTAATTCTTCTCTACTTTTGCCAAAGCAACTTCCTCGTCTGGGACTTCCTGTAACTCACATGGCAATAAAATTATTCAGAAAATTCTAAGCAGTATTATTTGTATATGTTTTTTTTCTTACTTTTTTCAAGGTATTCTTTCCAGACCAAAACCCCCGCGTCTGAAGGCGTGCTTGTTCTTGATTACATACAGTCGAATGGAAAAGAGCTGAAATGTGATCCAGGACTGAGGCTGTAGACCCAGGACTGAGGCTGTAGATCCAGGACTGAGGCTGTAGACCCAGGACTGAGGCTGTAGATCCAGGACTGAGGCTGTAGATCCAGGACTGAGGCTGTAGACCCAGGACTGAGGCTGTAGACCCAGGACTGAGGCTGTAGACCCAGGACTGAGGCTGTAGATCTGGGACTGAGACTGTAGACCCAGGACTGAGGCTGTAGATCTGGGACTGAGACTGTAGATCCAGGACTGAGGCTGTAGACCCAGGACTGAGACTGTAGATCCAGGACTGAGGCTGTAGATCCAGGACTGAGGCTGTAGACCCAGGACTGAGACTGTAGATCCAGGACTGAGGCTGTAGATCCAGAACTGAGGCTGTAGATCCAGGACTGAGGCTGTAGACCCAGGACTGAGGCTGTAGATCTGGGACTGAGACTGTAGATCCAGGACTGAGGCTGTAGATCCAGGACTGAGGCTGTAGACCCAGGACTGAGACTGTAGATCCAGGACTGAGGCTGTAGATCCAGAACTGAGGCTGTAGATCCAGGACTGAGGCTGTAGACCCAGGACTGAGACTGTAGATCCAGGACTGAGGCTGTAGGTCCAGGACTGATGTGAATTGTACAGCTAAAAACATCTTGTGGTTATTCTTTCTAACTGATGTACAAATGTTACTTCTGTTTCTCACAATAAAAATGATTCTGATTATTTTTTGCAGTATTATTTTCATATACTTTTTTCCGACCGACCACGCTTGCCCTCGGAGTCACCCTGGCGGAGAGGAGGAGGAGGTGGAGGAGGTGGAGGAGGTGAAGGAGGCAGATCCAAAGCCGTGATTATCCTTCTCCTCGAAACAGCAATCAGCAGATTTCACAGCAGCTCCAGGCGTGTAATAAACCTGCTCCCAATCAGAGAGGCCTAATCCTGGGTAATGAGCGCAGAGGGCAGGCCCCGCTGGCTCCATCACCTCCACCTCCACACAAGACCACAGGGACCAGGACCTGTGTGGCCCGGTTTAGAATGACAAATGTAATAAAAGGAAATACATAGAATCCATTGGTTCATAGAGCAAAGTCGAAAAATGTTTATACAGGTCCAAACTATTTCTGAAATGTCCCAGATCAGCACTGTCCTTAGACCATTCTGCCTCGGCAAGGGGAAAAAACAGTGGGAAAATAGTGAGAACTGAGGCTGTAGATCCAGGACTGAGGCTGTAGATCCAGCACTGAGGCTGTAGACCCAGGACTGAGGCTGTAGATCCAGCACTGAGGCTGTAGATCCAGGACTGAGACTGTAGATCCAGGACTGAGACTGTAGACCCAGGACTGAGGCTGTAGACCCAGAACTGAGGCTGTAGATCCAGGACTGAGACTGTAGATCCAGGACTGAGGCTGTAGATCCAGGACTGAGGCTGTAGATCCACTGAGGCTGTAGATCCAGGACTGAGGCTGTAGACCCAGGACTGAGGCTGTAGATCCAGGACTGAGGCTGTAGATCCAGGACTGAGGCTGTAGATCCAGGACTGAGGCTGTAGATCCAGGACTGAGGCTGTAGACCCAGGACTGAGGCTGTAGATCCAGGACTGAGGCTGTAGATCCACTGAGGCTGTAGATCCAGGACTGAGGCTGTAGACCCAGGACTGAGGCTGTAGACCCAGGACTGAGGCTGTAGACCCAGGACTGAGACTGTCTTCTTTATGTTTAAGGCTTGTTAGTTTGTTTCAATAAGAAAAAGAGAGTAAAGAATGTAGTACTGATTCAGTAGCACATGTTTTGGCGGGAACCAAGTCTGAGGAGCACAGGGACTGGCCTCCTGCTGGTCCCAGAGTCAGAACTAAACATTTCAGATTCATGCAGCTGAAATCTGGAAAATAAAGTGAATTATTGATGATTTTAACGCCTTGTGAGATGGTTTCTCTCTTGCCTTGTGAATGAACTGTTCTATACAATTAAACTTGTCATAAAGAATCAACATTGAACCGACATTGACCCGTTAGAAGTTAGTTTACAACCCAATCTGCGTACATCACCATAAATCTCCTTTAAAAATCTGTCCAGAGAGCGTTTTTTCCAGCTTGCCGCCTCCTGCTTGAGATGCGCCGTGGTCTCCGGCTTTTCCGCGCTGCCTCGTCTCGTGTAGGAGCAGGCAAGCGCGACGTGTTTTCCCGCCGCCTCGACATTCCCGTCCCGGAAGTGTGTGTGATTGATCGGAGCGGCGCTGTCGGATCTGCGGAGGCAACGTCACGGGCCTTCACTCCCAAACGCACCCACTGAGCAGCTTACACACTCCATAGAGCCGCTGCTCCCTCTGGGGGGGCCACGCACCGCGGTTTAGTTCCACCGCATTAGCGCACGCAAGCTAGCTACATGCACACATACATCACAGAGGGGAGGCGGGCCAAGGCAGGACTGGACCAAGTCTGGAGCAGGACTGAAGCAGGACTGGATCAGGTCTGGAGCAGGACTGAAGCAGGTCTGGACCAGGACTGAAGCAGGACTGGACCAGGACTGAAGCAGGACTGGAGCAGGACTGGAGCAGGACTGGAGCAGGACTGAACCAGGACTGGAGCAGGTCTGAAGCAGGACTAAACCGGGACTAAACTAGGTCTGAACCAAGACTGAAAAAGAACTGAACCAGGACTGGACCAGGACTGGACCAGGACTGAAGCAGGTCTGAACCAGGATTGGAGCAGGTCTGAAGCAGGACTGAAGTAGGTCTGAACCAGGACTGGAGCAGGTCTGAACCAGGACTGGAGCAGGTCTGAAGCAGGTCTGAACCAGGACTGGAGCAGGTCTGAACCAGGACTGGAGCAGGTCTGAAGCAGGTCTGAACCAGGACTGGAGCAGGGCTGGACCAGGGCTGGACCAGGACTGGACCAGAACGGAACCAGGTTTGAGAGTCTCATCTCTTTTTCTCTTTTGTCTGCAGCAGATGCAGGACAGGACTCTCTGCAGGACCCACTTTGAGAGGACTTCTCATGTCCAGCCGTTAGGGACCAGACCAGACCAGACCAGACCAGTCCCACTGAGAAAAAATCACTCCTCACATGGCACTGATGTCTTTATTTCAGGCAACGCAGCTGTTTTCAAACGTAAAAAGACGTATCTGTAAAAAAGATCAAAGAGAGGGAGTGGGAAGAAGAACATGAAGTTCTGTTGAGCTAATATTTCAACAAATGTTATTGTCAAAAAGTCGCATTCCTCCGGCTACAATCTTCAAAATGTATTTGTATTTATTTGATCTCCATTAGTTGTAAAAAGTACATCTATTCTGTTTTGTTTTTGGCAGTACATTTTGGAGAAAACTGTATTTGTTTGGGACTAAAATATAGAAACTAAAAACATAACCATAAAACAGAACAAAACACAAAAATAATAAAACAAAAAAATACTAAAAACATCACACACAAAAAATCCTACAATTACTAAAAAACCTTCTAAAAAAAACTACATGAAAATAAAAAACTACAAATACGATAAAGTTGTAAGCCTTCCAAATGTTTTCTTTGGCATCTGTGTTTGTGAAAGAACTATCCCAGTATCAATTGTAATGTTTTGTCTTGCGGCCCATAGGTTTAGGGAGTTGTAGTTCTGTGTGTGTCCAGCAGAGGGAGCAGTCCGTCATCCTCTGCCCTTTGGGACTTTAGCACAGAACGGCACAGAACTGCAGGACTGAAAACACACACATTCACAGAGGGACAAGCACTTTCTCCAGAGGTAGTGCTCAGTGGTTTCTCTCTCTGGTCTCTCTCTCTCTGGTCTCTCTCTCTCTGATCTCTCTCTGGTCTCTCTCTCTCTGGTTTCTCTCTGTAGTCTCTCTCCCTGGTTTCTCTCTCTGCTCTCTCTCTGGTCTC